GGAGTTATCACACCCAGGCAGCTCTGTGCACCAGCCCTCACCAGCTCTGCTGCTGACAAGCAGGCTCCAATATTCCAAATTCACCTGGAAACTCAGCCTGGCCTTCCAGCTCACCGGATGCCCAGACCATAGGAAGCCCTGCTGGGCAGCACTGGGGAGCTGGGATGTGTCTAAAAACTCCCCATGGGCAGAGAGATCTCAAACCCTGAGCCCTAAAAAATTAAGGAGCCTTTTCTGCCATTCAGCTCACAAGAGTTTGTTCCTGGGATTAGCCAGGGCAGAGAAAGGATCCTGTGCCTTAGAGAAGGGCCAGTGTCCCTGTGCATCCGGATCCAGCAGCATCCTGCAGGCAATTCTTTTAAACACCTTGAAAACTGGGCTTTAATCCCAAGAAAGATCTGTTTGAACATTCCCTCTAGTGGAGTGAGGGTGGAAATTCAAGCTGCGAGGTTCAGCTCACCGAGCCATCAACAGCCAGGGTGGGAAGGGCTGTGAGCTCTTGTGCTGGCCTGTCCAGGGCCCCCTCAGCCCAGGTGGAAAAACAACAAGTGACCAGCTGGGAATTCTGGTACCATTCCATATTATCCAGAATTATTATTTCAAAAATAACTGAAGACTTTTAAAGACCAGCTTCTCTTCACTAGAAATAAAAATTGGGAATTTTTTTAAAAATGGCTTTTCATACTGAAAAAGGAATGTTTTATTGTGCAGTGTCAAGGCTGGCAAATTGGAGCTGCTCAGAAGGTGGTGAAGGTCCATGAAGGTCCCTCCATGTCACTGCCACTGCCATGTCCTTTGTGGCAGCTCAGTGAGCATGTTCAGGCTCTCATCAGTGGCAGACAAACCAGGACAATGTTATTGCCCCTGTAAACCAGACAAACTCTGTGGGCTTCTGAGGAGCACTGCAGATTTCTGCCAGGAGCTGACCCGGCATCTCTATTTTCAAAACTAGGGCAGATTGAAATATGCTGGTTTTCAATAATATATTTAGGTTAACAGGGCTTTTCTATTTGGGCAATTAATCTGGCATAGACTGAGAACCTCTTGGGACAACGTGCAAAGGTTGCTAAGAAGAGGAAAACAAACACACTCAGCTTCCCCATGTCTTGTCCTGCATGAGGACACCTTGCAGTGATTGGATACCCAGCAAGAATCAGACACATCACTTTAATAATCCAAAGAACACCCAGACCCAGTATAGAAAAGCTTTTCCTAGGAACTGGTATTACCTCATCTCCTATTACTGCAAAATGCTTCAAACCAGAAATATTGAGACATAAATCTGTGGTAAGAGGAAAATCAATATTGTGCTGGAGAGTCTTTCTGGTTCCTTGCAGGACTGTTTCCTCCTCAGAACGAGCTCAGGGCTGGGAGGGGAGGCCTGGGACACACACACACTCTTGTGTCACTGTGTCTCTACATGTGCTCATGCTATATTTAAAATCACACCCAGGGCCCAGGGCTGATTGATCCCTTGTTGATGTCACCAGGCTCTTCCCAAATCTGATCCTTGTCTTTCTGTGCTCTCTCTCTCTGCCCAGCAGCCCTGCTGCCATCTGCCAGTGTCCTCAACTGAATCATTGCCTGATAAACACCATCACAGATGTTATTCAGGGGTCCAGAGCAGTGAGATGTACCTCATCTTCTTGCTTAGGCAACAGACATCCTGCTGTAATCCACTTTGGGCAAATATGTTACATACTACCCCATTTCTTCAGGGGCTGAGAGAGTTTGGGTGTTCAGCCTGGAGAAGAGAAGGCTCCAGGGAGACCTCAGAGCAGCTTCCAGTGCCTGAAGGGGCTCCAGGAAAGCTGGGGAGGGACCTGGGACAAGGGCAGGGAGGGATGGGTTGAAGGGTAATGGATTAAAAGTGGGAGAGGGGAGACAGAGGTTGGACATGAGGAAATTCTTTGCTGTGAGGGTGGGGAGCCCCTGGCCCAGGTTGCCCAGGGAAGCTGTGGCTGCCCCATCCCTGGCAGTGTTGAAGGGCAGGCTGGATGGGGCTTGGAGCAACCTGGGCTGGTGGGAAGTGTCCATGCAGGGCTGGAACTGGATGATCTTTAAGGTCCTTTCCAACACAAACCATTCCATGATTCTATGAAGGAAGCAGCTGCCAACTCAAAACTGTTGAACTAGTTTGGTTTCTGACCCAGTTCACTGGAGAAGTGGTGTCTGCAATGGAAACTGTTCAGTGCATAGAGCATCGTGGCATGACAGAAGTTCCCAATCACAAATAGCAACAGACTCTGAAGGAATATGCAGATGGCTACTGCTTGATTAATGTGTGCTGCATCTGTTAGTTCAAAGTGGCAATTACACTATATAAACACAGCCCTGCAATAGCAGCACGTTGATCTATGCTGACCAAAAATCTGTCCCCTAACATCATTTGGGGTTTTTTTTTTCCCCTTTTTCTTTCTCATCCCACAAAAAACCAGTTTCCTTCTGAGCCCAGTAAAGGAGAAGATCTCATCGGTTCTATGTTATAACAGCAATATTGGATTCTGTTAGGAACCAGCAATTCTGCCTCTGGCCATGAAATCCAGGTAATGACCCATAACTGAAGTAAATTAGTGTTTAATTTCCCATCCCTTGCAGACAGCTTCCTAATGGAAATTGATTTCTAGCTTTTTTCTCTTTCATTTAACATGCTTGGGTAATGTCTTTATTTTGGATTCAAGTGGTTTCCAGTGAATTGTAGCCAGAAGGCTGGTGTACAGGTGACCACCAAAAGCACCTGGTTAATCAATATTGTGTTAAGTGGTGTGGGGGGACTGGTGTGGCAGGGACACCCTTGGGCACACATGGGCTCCTTCTGTCCTGTGCTCACACCCACAGATACACCCTGGGACAGATAATTTGATGGAGTGAATCAGCAGAGTTCTCTCCTATGTAACATCCCCAGAAGTCCAACTGTTATGGATCTGATCCTTATGTACAGGCTCCTACACAAGTTCCATGTTCATTTATATGTGACACCCATATTTTCATATGCCCAGTGCACCCCCAGGTAGATAAAAAGGTGCTTCCCTCCCCCATGCAGCCACTCTCTGACCCATGGATGAGCTGCTGGTCCTCAAACCAAGCCAAGAGCCTCAGATGCCACATCTCAGTGCAGCCTGGACCCAGGAGCCAGCCCTGCCCTCTGCAGGGTTGCTCAACCACCACCAAATCCCCTGGAACTCTTGCCGAACGGGGGTTCCCTTGTGTAATCTGATCCAGCCACCAGTGCACGCACACACACCCCTTTTTTTTTGGTGCTATTTAGATAAAATCACCCGCCAATTTCTTCACTCTATAGCAGCCCCAGCATTAGAGACAGCAGCTGGCTTTGGATGTCCAACCCTTTTTCTTTGGAAGGGAGAGAAAGGCAGTAAAACACGGTAAGGTTTTTAAAGCTCCTACCCCTTTAAGCTGCAACAACCGTGAGGCAGAATAAGGGTTTGTAACAGTGGTATTTTCAACCCTCAGTTACTTCAGGTTAGTCTGGCAACTACAAAGGAGTTGGGAGGAGGGGAAAAAAAATTATCTAATTTTCCCATTTTACTTTTCTGAAGGATAATGGAGGAACCAACTCAGCTGGTGCTGGTTTACACTTTAAAAGCAGAACTTATTTTTCTTAGTGTTTGGTTGATTTTCTGGTTCCATCAACACTTTTAATAGTGCTATAAATTGTTTGGCAAAGGAATTGTTAGTTAGAGATGGTGTCCAGGGTATTTGCTCCTTATTGATGTGTAAATTGGCTTGCATGCTGGTATAAGATTCTAAAGCTGAATGCTTGTAATGTGATGATAGCAATAACAATTAGCACAGACTACAGCAAAGTGTTAATTGTGAATTAAAATCCCAAACAGTGTAGGTCAGTCCTGCCCTTGTGATCTGTTTCCCTGACCAGCACTCAGAGTGCCAGGAACATTTCCCTGGGCAAGGGAATTTTCTGAGCCTGCTGCTCTGCTCTTGCATTGCTAAACCCTCATCTTCCCCAAGTGCATTTGTTCAGGTGCATTTTGTACATCTGCTGACAGCACAAAACTGCTCTGCCCCTGACAAACCCTGTGTGTTATACCCAATGAATGCTAATTTGGGACTAATGGACAGGTGAATATGGAGACCAAGGGAAGGAGGACAGAAGACTGGCAGGTTCAGAGCCTTGTAGAGAATAATGGCAGGGGAAGACATGGGGCAGAAGATTAAATGTTAGATGCTATCTTTATCACAGCTGTCTTGTGTGGGAGCATAATATAATCATTAAAGTAAATGGTCCTTTTCTGCAAGAGGAAGACTCTGAGCAAATTAAGAAAAGACTCTTGTGCCTCAGCTTACCTGTTTACAGAGTGAGAATCCACCCCTGCCTTCTGGGGCTGCAGGGAGGATTGATTAAACAAGGTTCACCAAGCACTTAAAATCTGCTGTAAGGATGTTGTCCTGTTATATACCTCATTTAAAATATGAATCCATGGGGAAAAATTATATGAAGTCAGGATGGATGGGGGTTTCTGGGCATGATCTGTCTGGGTTTTCCTATTCAGAATGGCTTGCAGAGAGACAACAGCTCTGCTGAGATGAGCAGCCTCAGTGAACATACATTCAAGTTCTTGTGCTGTCTGACTTGGGCAGAGGAGGAGGAATGATAAAAGTAACTGCAGCCTTGGCTTTTAAAAATATAAACACCTTAGCTGAACCCTGCCACAAGGATACTGTAAGAAGCCATGAAATAGTAAGGGGGGAGCCACTTTGCCGGGTAGATCAAGGGGAAAAATGTAACCATGACAGAAATAATTAATGCTATTGCCTAGATGAGGATATGGGCAGAGGGGAGCAAGCAGCAGAGCTGAATACAATATTAAATACTTCTGCCTTAGGCACTGAAATGGAATATGGGCAATTAGAGACTAAGCTTGAAAGATCAAAGCAGGAAAAAATGTCCTTATAAAGTGATAATGAATGATTTATTTTTAACTTACAGCAGGCAAAAGGCTACTTCAAGCCACCTAGGAAGGATGTGGGCTTATACTGTTGGTTTTACTGTCCTGCCTCATGTTGGAGGTTTCCTTGGCTGGTTCCTTAATCGAAAAGAAAAAACTGCTTGGTATGAGAAGCTGAAAAAGCCTTCATGGTGTCCATCCAGCAAAATATTCCCTGTTGCTTGGACTGTCCTATACACTGGCATGGGGTAAGTTCTACATACTGTCCCTCTCTTGTCCTGCAGTTTTTGATAGAGGGAAAAGCAGTCATTTCAAGCTCTTCCATTTGCTTTTGGGATATCCCTTGTACCCGACTCAGAAGGGCATGTCAGGTATGATTCCTCCCAGCACATGAAGTACAGCCTGAGCCAAATTCTGGGCTGAGTTCCTCAAATTGACAATACAAGCTATGGTTTTGGCCAGGGGACAGCCCATGCTCAGCTTTCTAAACAGACACTAAAAACAACTAGTGCACTGGGGAAATGGTGTGAGCTGCAGGCAGGGGACAGGTCTGAGAGCAGCCAGAGACATGGGTGCAGCTGTGGTGCAAATGCCACTGCCCTGCAAATCCCTGCTGCAAACCCATCTGCCATGAAAAGAGTTTGTCTGTATTAGGGGTTAACTCTCTGACGTGTTCCCTCTTCACAGCTATGCCTCCTACCTGATATGGAATGACCTGGGTGGCTGCAGCAGCAAAGCTATTGTCCCACTGGGCCTCTATGGGGCTCAGCTGGCCTTGAACTGGGCTTGGCCTCCCTTCTTCTTTGGTGCCCACAACCTGAAGATGGTAACGTATCCAGCCACCCTTTGAGCCTTCTTTGCTGGGGTCCCTGCCATGGAGGTTTTGGGGTTGTTTGGAGGTTTTCTAACTAGCATTATGCAATTGTAAAGAGAGCTGCAAGAAGAGCTTTTGCTCAGATATAATTCATGCTGCACCTGGTTCTAGACAATGGTATCAGTCCCTTCCACTCCTCATCCTGCTCTTGCCAGGCAGATAAATGGCCCGACCAGAGCAGGGCGGGAGATCAGGGAGTCAATGGTCTGGCTGCTGCATCTCTTAGTTAAGGATGTGGGGTTAGAGATAAGCCCTTTTGGGAGTCACACCCTGCACTGGCACCAGTTAGCATCCCTGGGGGAAATATTAGCTGTCAGTGGCTTATCAAACCAATACAATGCTCTGTAGAGCCTGTCAGAGGTAAAGGCACAGCAGGCAGAGCTGGACTTGTGCTACATACAAAAAGCACTTACCTGAGGTGCTAAGGGGTGATGGAGGTGCTTAGTGGGACTTCTGTTTCCATCAGAATTTTGTCACTTTGTGGAGGAAAGGTATATTTAGAAAGTCTGTTAAGTGGTAACAGCCATTGGGACTAAAAAAACATGTTTCTGATCTGTCTGCCTGGGTGTTACCCACAGAAGGGGGCACTGCTCAGCATAACCACTGTGCTCATCTGTGCAGCTCGATAACAAACCAAATAAATGAACACTACTCTTAGCTCCTGGTGTGATACATCCAGATCTCACTGATTAGAGGTCAGAGCCAAGGTCCTGGGGTTTAGGATTGCTACAGGTGATTTTTCAGTGCTGAATCTCCCAGTTCCTACTCCCCCTCACCTGTCACCACCTCAGTCGGGTGGTTTCTAGTCGTGCTGGGGAAGGTTGTGGCGTGTTCCAAAGTGTGAGCACCAGAGTCACTGTCTTCTCTCTGCTCCAGGCTCTGATTGACATCCTGTGCTTGGATGGGCTGGCAATAGGCACCACCTGCTGCTGGTCCAGCATCAACAAGGTGGCAACACTGCTGATGGTGCCTTACCTGGGCTGGCTGGCCATGGCCACTTGCCTCACAATCCACATCTGGAAGGACAACCCGGAGCAAAAAACCAGGGAAGAGTGAATAAGCAGGACAGAAATGAAGGCATTTTGTGAGACTAAACTAGGCAGGTGTGATCTAATGACTTGGGGGTTTCATTTTGAGACAGGCATGAGACCCTGTCTCCTCCCACCCTCATCATGGTTGTGTAAAGGGAAGGTTTGCCCCATGCACCTGTGTGCTCCTCTAGTGTATCTGTAACCATTTTGTAACCTGGGATCTATTTTCTCCAGCACTGTTGAGGTCTGGGGGCTACAGCTGTATGGCGACCTTAATGCTATCAGGCCACATCCCATTAACCAAACTGGGATCTCATGATACCAGTGTAATTCAGAACAGCAATTCTGAACACCCCTCTGACCTGCTACCATTCCCCCAGGGAGCAGAACCTGTTCTGCACCACATGGTCAATCCCACCTCCTCTTCTGGGACCAAACAAAAGTGCCCTTCACTCATGCAGACCAATTCTTAAGAACTTACTTGATTTTTTGCTGTTTGTGCTGTTGCTTCACTTTCATGTATCACCTGGTTTGTGCTTTATGCCATTAACTTTTTAGCTGTCAGCTACTGAGCAAGCAGTGAGCTGTCTTGTTCTGCTTGTGAAAGGAAACCAGGCACTTTGACTTCTATTTGTAGAGTATCACACTTCTTGAGTTTCATGCTCTAAGATAAAGCAGCAATTATTAGAATGCAAATGCTTGTCCCAAGAGGAAATTTCTCTCTTCTACCTCTGTGTGCTGTTTCTCATTGGAAAAGAAAAAAATAACATCAGTGCCTTTGAAAAAAAAACAAACCACCACACCAAACAACAAAAAAACCCCACTTAAAATGGCTTTTTAAAGAATAGAAACACAAGAGCTTTTGTAAAATTTAAACACTTAACTCACACTGCCTTGAAGGTTGTAATTATATGATTGGCAAAAAGCCCCATGCCAAGTCTGTCAGGTGCAGTACAGATATTTCATCCCAGTCTTTCCATTCCTGAATATTATTAATCAAAAGAAAGGTTAAAATACAAGTAGTTCCAGAGCAATGGTCCCAAGCCAATCAGACACAAAAGCTGCACAGACTAGCCCTTGTCCATACTTTATTCTAGCCCGTGCCTTTGGCAGATCTGAACCTTTAGATGTTGCTGTTTACAGAGAATATTTACTTTTATTTTTTAATTGATATAATATGTGAAGAAAAGTGGCAGGTGGATCTTCTTCCTGGCAGCTTATTTTAAATGAAGGTGGGTGGGTATCCTTGCAAAGGGTGGGGGTAGGTGGGCTTAGTTGGGGATGTAAAATAAATTGTATTTGCTTTTAATAAAAATAAGTCCATTTTGTTTGGAGAGTAAATAAATTGAAGTTCTTTTTGTTTTACTGGTTCAGCACTAGGTTTGTAAAAGCTTGAGGGATCCTGTCTGGAGACCATGGCTTGTGCTCTGGCTCCCAAGGGAAGGGGATTGGCAGCAAAGCTCTGCAGGGTCCAGCAGCCAGACCCATCCCTGGGTGCTGTTAGGAGTAAATGGGCTGTGTGGGATTCAAGCCTGAAGGTCCCAAAGGTTCCTTCAGCTGCCCTGCACAGTGGGGACATGCTCACCTGGGGATACCTCCCCATGACAGTCTCCTCCATCATACTTCCCACACAGCTTCCAGGTAAGGAAGCCAGTTCTTGGGTTTGGGTCCTCCCTGAGTTACCTCAAGCCTGATCTTCCAGAGATGCTGAATGTTCCTGGGTCCAGCCCATATAAATGGCATCACTGGGTGCTCAGCATGGCTGAAAGCTGGGGCCAAGGGAAACAAACAGCAGCAGCTGAGAGCAGTTGAACTATGTTGTCACTTATTAAAATTTGGCCAAATATCATATATTTTGATCCCACCCATTATTTTTCTCTCCTAGCTACAGGACAGCTTTGTCCCAGGCTGCTCCTGCAAGCACATGCCTGTAATCTCCCAAGTAAAAGCTGCATAAGAACAGGTTCTTGAGTAGATGTGGCTGTAAGCAGGAGTCAGACCATAAAGCATGACCACTGCAAGCAGCTCGAGAAAGATCATAAGCTACTTCAAAAAAATAAATCCTAAATCCTATCTATTTCAAGGCTTTATATAAATGTGTGTTACCACCCAGCTTATTTACAGGGATGTCTCGTCTGTGCCTTCCAGAACACCACATGTCAAAAGACAGGACGACATAACTTATTTCTTCCTAAAAAGCTAATATCTGGGCTGGAGATTCAACTCATTGGAGTTAGGAATGATTTAGAGCTCCTAAACATCATGATGCTCCTTCCCAGTTAGCACAGCAAAGCCCCGAGGAGCAGAGAGGGGCAGAGCCACCTAGTGAAGCCAGGAGGGATAACGAGAGGCTTTCCCAGGATCTCTGCTTTCGAAAACGGAAAAAGGTTTATTTAAATCACATTTCAACTGGTACGTTACTCTAGATCTGGTTCAAACCTGCAACGTTTTAGTACCATTTCCAGATATACATATATGGATATACATTTGATCACCTTTCATCAATTACTCCTCTTTCCCCTTCCCATTTTTTTTTTTTTTCTGTAGCTAAAGGAAAATCTGGAATTAAAGGTAATGGGGTTTTTTGGTGTTTTGTTTTTTTTTTATCTTTCCATATTTGCTCTCCCAGTTGTCCAATCTGGTACGACTACCTGACCTGTTCTTGTCTCCAATTTCAGTTCCTCTCCCAGCCCCCCTACAGCTGCACCAATAGCTCCTCTTTGCTACTTGCATTTCCTTGCAGGCAGCAAAAATAACAAATGTTCCTACATGTAACATACATAAGAGCTTGACATCAATTGAAAAAGTTAAATTCAGCAAAGCACCCTCTTGTAGTGATATTTAAAGCATCATTTAATATATTTGCTTTTTAAACAGATACATCAAAACCCCTTGCATAAAAGTAACTTTAATGAGATTTCAAAGTCAGCCATTTAGAAAATACCTTAGTTATATTGTTCAGTGCAGACCAAAATCAGCCTCTGCCTTTGTGGATCTAGAGGGGTCCTGGGTTCCCATTAGTGTTGGGTGATGGGGCTTGTGCTCCTGGTCCCATGATGGCTGGAAGAAGCAGCCCTTGCCTGGATCCATCCCTGTTACAAACAGACAAAGGGAAAGGGAAGAAGAAGCAGAACAGAGAGGTGCTAGGAACCAAAAGCATGGTCAGGAACCTGGCTTGCTAAAACCCAGGAAATGTTGCCTCCAAGTGAGAAAGGGGGTTTCACACCAGCTGAGCTCAGGGCTCTCCTCCCTGCCAGACACCGTCTTCCTGAAGGGCCCTGGTTCCCAGGGGATCCAGCTGGATCCCTGGGAAGTGCTGCCTGTGCCAGCATTACTCAGGCGGCAGGCAGGCTGGATCATCTCAGCAGGCATGCAAGGGGTTTTTCCAGCCCCCCTGAATTAGCTGCTGGAATGGAAACCATGTCCTACCCAGCATCAGGAACATCCACAGCCCAGGATGGGTCATGTCGCCGTCTAGAGGATCCAAGCAGTGACTCAGACAAAGGCTGTGCATTCGTGACAGTTTCCATGGGGTCGTGGCATTTAGAAGGAAGAGCCATCTCTCAGATCACCATGTCTAATGATGAACCCTCTCTTCAGACTTACCAGTCTTTCCAGAAAGATGGATTTGAAATTAAACTGGTCGTTACACTTGATCTTAGGCCAAAGGGCACATCCCCGGCTGCTGGATACACAATATTTGTGCATCAACAAAATCTCTCTGCCTTTCAGTCCAGCCTCTTTCCTAAGCCTTGCCTCACTCAATAATTTACCAGCTGTTCCAGAAAACACTCTGGCTTCAGTAGCAAGGAACTTTAATTGATTTGCTGATGTCTGGAGCTATATTAAAATATAGAGTCAAATGCTAGAGAGGATTTGCTGCCGTGTGCATGTCAACTTCAGAGAGCTGACTGTGGGCCAGCAGCTCTGCCCCCCATCCCTTCCTCAGCACAGGGTGGTGCAGAAGATAAACTCCTGGGGCTCTGAGCACCTGCAGCACGGCTGGGGCTGACCTTCCCCTTGAACTGCTCCTAGGAAAACTGCAGCAGAAGCTCAGCAGGGAGGAGGTTGTGCTGCTCAGAGCTGTCATTAACATCCAGTTGGCTTTGAATTAATCGGACAACCAGTGGCGCCTGCCAGGAAAACAGCCTCCTGCCCAGCTCTCCAGCAGTGTGGGAATGGGTGTGAGAGGGTTGGGGATCGTGGGCCAGGGAGGTCCAGGCTTCAGCTGTGAAGATAAGACAGGCAAAAAGGTGACAGCATCACTTGTCTCTGCCTGCACCACAGCTCAGCTCTGCTGTAGAACCTTTTCCAGGGAGCTGGGCACCATCCAGGTCGAACCCTTGGGATGCTGTGGCAGCCAACACCAGTACTCCCTGCCCCTTCTTTTACATCCAGGCATTGTGGTCCTGCACTAGGAGAGGGACAGGTGAGAGCCCATGGGGGCTGAGGGAAGGAAAGCTGCCTCTGCACATCACTGTCAGAGTGTTTATTTATCATGTAACGGTAGTTACAGCTGGAAAAAGCAGGAGAGGGATTGCTGCCAGACAATGTATCTAGGGAGATGTTTTGTTAGTGCCACCAGCTGTCCCCTTGGAATAGAGAGCACATCTGAGCCATGACTCACACAGCCAGTATCTTATTACACATTCATGTCTATCCAAAAACTTTACCCCAGCCCAAGAATGCAATAAAAGTCTCATTTTCCTGGCAAGGACTTCTGTAGCCAGGTTTCTTCTACTGTCCCTTTGTGATCAGGAAAGGATAACAGCCATTTTAACTGCAGGAAAGCAACTTCTGCAGCAATTAGAGGAACAGCAGATGACCTGTGTGGGAGATAGGTCAAAGTAATACAGTCCTATGTGAGACACCTATTGAAGATGGGACAAAAAAAGGTCAACAGATTGTTCAGAGCTGCCCTTAAAGTCAGCGGAGAAAATCCGGACTTGGAGGGATGCAGGATCAAACCTTAATATCCAATACTCCAGCAAAGCCAGAAAGCTCTTCCCACAGCAGGTTGTCACC